CACCAAAGCAGGAGTACTTGTGTGATTCCAGGGTGACTGTACGGTAGAACAAGGAGCCATTCTTCACCCTCAGGACAGGGCAACATCACATCCCTTTTGCCTTTCATAAGATAGCCAATGGTTTGAATTGAGAAAAGAGGAAATTGAAAGTAATACAATAGAATGAGATGTTGGCACTAAAGAGGAAACCTGGACACTCTAGCTGACCCATCCAATAAAGCCCATGATCTCCTCCAGGCACTCTCACTACTGAGGCAGCATGGAGTGGTATATATCTCTCCTTGCAGCCACTCTGCTAACCATTTTACAGACCTGTTCCATGAAGAGAAAGACTTGCATCATGCTTTAAAAGGTAAAGGTAAAGGTTCCCCTTGACAATTTTTGTCCAGTCGTGTTCGACTCTAGGGGGCGGTGCTCATCCCCGTTTCCAAGCCATAGAGCCAGCATTTTGTCCGAGGACAATCTCCCGTGGTCACATGGCCAGTGCGACTTAGACACAGAACGCTATTACCTTCCCACCGAGGTGGTCCGCATTAATCTACTTGCATTTGCATGCTTTTGAACCGCTAGGTTGGCGGGAGCTGGGACAAGCGATGGGAGCTCACTCCGTCACGTGGATTCGATCTTACGACTGCTTGGTCTTCTGACCCTGCAGCACAGGCTTCTGTGGTTTAGCCCACAGCGCCACCACGTCCCTTGCATCATGCTTTAGCTAGCCCTTTTGCATTCTGGAATAGTTTTCTTTTTCACTGTTGTCTCCCTTTAGCTTACTAAAGTTTACTGAAATAGGATTACATTATTGGGATTGTGTCTGTGTGTCTCTGTGTGTGATTGCGAAAAGATTATTGTTGTATGGACTTTGAGTGGGTAGGCCACATAATTCAAGCACTTTGTATCCTCCCCAGTCATAGCTGTTAGTATCCTCCCCAGTCATAGCTGTTAGCAATTACCTCCATTACCAAATGCATTTTTAAAAATGAAACTCTGGAAATGTATAGACAATTTTATGTACCGTAAGACAAAACAGGTTAGGAATAGGGATGGGAATGAAACAAACAAACCATGAAGCAAAAAATCTCACAAATTGGGCCATTTTGTGGTTCATTTAAGGGTCCTTCAGGGAAACATGTCCGCCCAGAACAAAACAAAATGCCGAACTATTATCATCAGTGTTGGCAATTTGTAAAGAGCATTTTCCCGAGGGGATCTGTTTGGAATCTATAACATGGATTTTCCAAATCCAGTCTTTGCCAAACATGGAGGAGGTGGGGAGGAGAGAACCAAAAAGTCAGTCTCTGTTTGGTTAAAATTGAATTTAAGGTGTCTGAGTTATAGCCAGCTGAAACAGGTTCCTCCAGGAAAGTACTCTTTAGCCAGCTGCTAAAGAACACTTTTGGGGTGGGACATGTTTTGGGGGCAATAACTCAGATATCCCAAATCCAATCTTCATCAAACCTAAGAGGGTGGGGAGAAGATTCATCTGAAGACCCCTTGTGAGTTTGGCATCTCTACCTCACATGGGGGCCATTCTACTGCTCCTGGAAGTTCCAAATCGCACAAAACACACAAAACAGTTTGTTTCATTGGAAAGTACATGAAAGTTTGTGGTTCATGAATAGAGAAAAACCATGAACCATCATGAACACTGTTTTCCCAGTACTAGTTACGACACATTTTGTAGCTAAATCAACTTTTTAATTTATTTTGCTGCAACAATATAATCTGTATGTTTTGTTGATAAACCATCTTGTTTGCTTAAAGCAGACGTTATAGAGTTAGATCTGAGACAATTCTGAATATCAATCCCTCACACCTCATACCTGCGTTAAGCCTTTTGGGGAGGTTTCTGAGGTCCTAGAGCTTTCTATTCAGTATATGGTGGTGAATTACAACCTGTTGGTTTGTTCTAGTGTAGGTTTAAACTCAGTAATAGAGGGGTGGCATTTAGATGCCCAATTAAGACTCACTTTCTTTATGGCCCATTGGTGGAGGGTACAGAAACAGGAGAAAGAAAAAAATATCACAATTTGAATTGTACATTTTGGTTCTGTGAATAGTAAACCTAAGCAGCTTCATGACAATGAGTTGGAGTGAGATAGGGGTTGGGAGTTTAACCCCTTCTCTCCCCACCATAGTACTATCAAGAAACATCTTTAAGGAGCAATGTGTACCTGGGGGGGTTACACTATGCCAGTGATTCCCAATCTTAGGTATCCCAGGTGTTCTTGGGCTGCAATTCCCAGAAGCCTTCACCACCAGCTGTGCTGGTTGGAGTTTCTGGGAGTTGCAGTCCAAGAACACCTGAGACATGCAAAGTTGGAAACATTGCACTATGCCAAGGTGTGCTTTGAAAACAGGACCTGGTGGAAATGCTCTTTGCAGTGTTATTCTGAGGGATATTTGAAGCACTCAGCAAGGCAAGCTGCCACACTTAGCTATTACATGGTGCAGCAAATGTACGAGCATTTAAAAAGAGGGATGAAGAATGAAAATCAACCTGTTGTGATGATGTGAAACATAAGTACTCTAAATACTAATGAAGAGCCCATCCCTGGATGTTCATCTGAACATTTGTGCTCCCTTCTGATTTGGGGGAAGCCTATCTCCCCACACTTGAAATCATACAATGGGGAACCCTCTTACAGTCTGAGGCACTGCAACCCAGACAAAAGTTTACCAACTCTATTATATTCAAAAACATGGTCACATTGATTATGCCTAAGATACACTGCATATTGCTTAGTTTACTTCATTAGCTATCACAGATATTCTTAGCCACACATGCTCTTCCACCCAGCCTGACCTGGTTTCTCCAGAAATTGTAGAGGTCAAACATCCAAGGTATGAACATCTCAATATGATATGAACCTGAAGAAAAGTTAATTTTCCTTTCCTCCCCCATCCACCTTTCTACTTCTCAGTGTTGAAAACAAAGAGGTTGCTATTTTCATACAAAATTAAGAATATAGTTTTACAAATTGCATATTTTTAGAGCAGTTCTGCCATCTAGTGGTTTTTAAAGTCACAATTGACTGGAAAAGGCAATAATGCTGGGAAATTTGGAACGCATTAAGGAAAGAGAAAGACCAAATATGAAATGGACTGACGCAGTATGGAAGCCACAGGTTCGAGTATGCAAGAGCTGAGCAAATCTGTTAATGATCTGACATACACTCCTTCTTACGGTTGTCATGGGGCACATATGACTCTATAACACATAAAACAACATTTTGCTTGGCAGCAGCAATACTCTAAAAGGGCTCTTCTTTCATTAATACATGCACCAAATACAGATTTTTCACCTAGTGCAGCTTTGCCCTCCAGAAACACTGCAGTAATAGAAAAAGATGGTCTTTATGGAACTTGCCCTTCTGTTTGTTGATAGTATGGTTCAATGTACAAACGTCCTCCTGATTTGTCACCCTCAGGAACAGTACTCCAGTTCATTGTGTAAATTGAAAGTGGAGGAGAAGAAAAGAAGTTGAGCTGAGCTGAATTATGTTTTGTTCAAATCCAGATCAGAGCCATAAAACATAAATTTTAGTTCAGCATTCTATATTGTAAAAATGCAGGTGAATCCAATGTTTTGTTCAAATCCAGATCAGAGCCATGATCTAAACATAAATTTTAGTCCAGCATTCTACGTTGTAAAAATGCAGGTGAATCTATATCTCGCCCTAGGCAGATCCTAAAGTTTGCATGCTTGCAAGATGAGTATGCATATATTATACAGAAAAGTATATTATACAGAAAACAAGGCATGCAGTGTAAATGTGCACATGGCTAAAGGTCTCAACTAGAGATGGGCATGAACTGCCAGCTTGGTAGTTCATGCTGGTTCATTTATCAGCCGAACAGGTGTTCAGGGCTTCAGAACCCCAGCTTCTCTAGTGAGGGGCCACTCAGTGCAGGAAACAAAAGCCACGGCCTCTGGGTGAGCACTCATTCGAGGAGGCAGGGCTTTGAAGCATCAAACATGTGCTTGGCTGATAAACAAGCCAACATCAGCCACTCATTCGAGGAGGCAGGGCTTTGAAGCATCAAAGATGTGCTTGGCTGATAAACAAGTCAACATCAACCACCCAGCTGGCAGTTTGTGTCCATCCCTAGACTCAGCATTTCAAAATACAGTTTAATAAATGTGAAAACTGGGTCAAAAAATAACTATTTTTTTCTAAATGCACAGAAAGGTATGATTTGCCTTGTCTCTTTCTCCCTGCAAAGGCCTTGCAATCTGAAATCCAACAAGGCTGTGACAGGAATACAGGTAGGATTTAGAGAAACACATTGAAATTGTGACTGAGAGATTTTCACAACCATCCTAGGCTCAAACCTTCTGTTACTGGAATTTTAATACCCCTTTCCTGTTCCCAGCATGATAAAGTCTGCCATGCAAAATGGTTAGAACCTGCTGATAAAATTATTTGGAAAGTAGAGGTGGTCAGAGGGGGACGTTCTTCCCAGATACACTGACACACTGACAGTACAATATACTGTCCTAGACACAACTGACCTCAATTTTTGTTTATTTGTCTTTTTCAGGAAAGCAGGCACTATTTTTCAGAAAGACATTCAAGGCAGCTGTAAGAATAATTGTACTTCATGAAATAGTGCTATTGAACATTTAAAGACTGAAAAACAGCAAAGAGTGAAAAATATCTATAAGCCTAGGACATTTTTGAACTTCCACACATGGACAAAAAGCAAAGCCAAAGAATGGATGAGGAACCTTCGCTTTACAGGTCCCTCAGCTTTCATGAAATCAACATAGGCTCACAATTCTAAGAATAACTATCTCATAATCAAATGCTTCTAGATATACTGGACTGTTCATTTGGGTGGGAAACTACCCAAACATACCTCTTGCTCTTAAAAATATAGTATAGCATCCATATCTCTGCACAGTATGTTCACTTAGGAAACCATCAAGCCCTTTATGACCTAAATGGCTACAGAGCTACTACATACAGAGAGACCCACAAAGACACAGACATATACAGCAGACACAACACATTCAGGTTATACATGGACTCAGCTAATCCACAAGAAAAATCAAATTAGAAAAGCATATTAGAATATATTACTTGGCAGAGAATGACATGAGTGACACAAAGGTAATGTTGGTAGCTCTGGGCAAATTTGGGTCTCTGTGTCTCTGTTTAGAATTCTAAGACTCCATAACATTTGCGTGGCTGAAAAAATTAGGCGTTGTAGTGTAATATAGCATTGCTTTTCAAGGGGTTCCTATCACCTGACCCCTTCTTGATTTCACAAGTTTTGTACCACTGGCAATAGTGTCATGCAACTCCCAGGTCTGTTGGGGTGGTGGGGGTGAAAATAGATCCTTTTAGAATACTTGAGGCATTTGCGTGACAATAACTAACTCCCAAAGAGACAATTCTCTACCTACAGAACATGCAAGTGAAACAGACAAAACGTTGATGAGAATGGGTGCAGAAACAAAGTTATCTTCAGTACTCACTATTAGTGGTGGTAAGAACATAGGATGTTGCCTTATTTTGTGTTCATCTAGTCTAGTATTGTCTGCTCTAACTGGCAGAGACTCTCCAGGATTTCAGGTAGACATCTTTCACTTTACTCACCAGCTGATAATTTTGAAACAGAGTTTGAGAAGCAGGTTTTAAGAACAACAACTATAAAGACTTGTTGAAGCTATCCATAACTGACCAGTGGAAGGGTGATGTTCTGGAACCCAGTTATGGATGGCTTGAGTATTTTGTTCCATTCATCCTTAGAAATAACTTTCTAAGCTCTGTTCATGGGCCATTTGGCCACATGTGTATGGGACCCAATATGGTGTTATGGACAGAACCCAGAAGATCTAGCTTCAAAAGCCTACTTAGCCATATAAACTTTTTTTAATAATTTTTTTATTATTTTTAAACTACTAGGAATAGGGTAGGGAATACAAAAGGTAAAAGGGAGCGTAAGGGATGGGATAAAGGTTTTGAGGATAGGAGAACACAGAATATACAATCATCCACTCTCTTCATATTAAGTATACATGCCTCTGATTTATTCATTTTTCAATAGAAAAAACAACTTTCTATTTTTTTTTATATATCTGTATACCATTTGATTATCCTCTAAACATCAGCTTATATTCATATGTTAATTTAAGTCTATGTTATTCCAACTCTATCAAGAAATCGAGACCATTTATAAAATACATCCCCTCTTTCATTTTCCTTCTGCCTTGGATGTACATTCAGCCTGTCTGGAAAGATACCCATTTCTGGCACTTCCCATATTTTCTCAGTACCCTTCTCTCATTTCTGTGCCTCTATTTTCTTCCAGTTTTGGGGAGATAAAATTAAATCCAGGACAGCAGTCTAATTTTTAACATCACCTTTTCTGACTATTATAGCTAGGTAGCTCCCATGGTAACTCTTAATCCCATCTGTGTTACCTGGCATCACTCTCAATAAAAATGGTTCTGGAGTTACAATTTCATTCAGTTGTTGTTTAACCTCTGATGGTTTCCCTTTCATCAGGTCTTCTATCTGGTTGAGGTGCTCATTTTTCCTGCTGAAATCCTGTTATTATTGTCATTTGCATGGTAACCAGCCATTCTTTGTCTGGCAACATTCCCACTAGGTATGTCCTCCCACTCCTTGCCCAGATATTATAGCAATTTTCTCAGAATCCACACAGTCGAGCCAAAAGAGAGTCCAAACTAAGCATCAAACAGGGAACCAGTCTCTCCTAAAAAGAAAAACTGTCGTAGTCCTTTAATAACTCCAGACCTGATTTTCTTAGGTCCTCCGTCTATTCTGTTAAGTTCCTCTCGCTGATGAGCTGATAATTTACTGTGTGTTGCTCCCAGGGATTTATTCTTCCTTCCAAAACCAAAGACACTTCTATTATCAAAGTCCCATTCAACTGGCTTCTGCCACTCTTCAATCTATGTCACCATACTGATGATTCATCACCTGTTTTTTATTCCCAAAAGCTAATACCTCCTGCTCCAAAGACAAGATTTTATTTTCAAAGTCCCACTCAAACTAGTGAGAAAAGTCCAGATTACACAACATTGACAAGATTTCAGTCCCTGTTGAGTAGTATTTCCTCTGGGATTTTTTTTCAGAAACACAAAAAATTTTTGTCTCACAGTGTATCTGAATGACCTTGAGCCAGCTTGCTAATTATAAACTTGCTGTTTATTAGACAGTTCGCTTTGAAAAAAAACGAAGCTGGCAGGCATGGTTCGCCGCTTCCTCTTTCTCCTTTCAGTCAGGTATTTTCCCTTTAGTTTCTTTTACATCTTAATGAGGTTATTCATAAATCAAAGGCTTACTTTGTTGTTGTGTATTTTCGGCTGTATTTCTGTTCTCCTACCTCAGGAATGTGGGGGTGGAGTTTCGTGCAGCTTTCTGCCATAAAATGGCCTTCCATCTCCGGTCTGTGCGTGGGTGAAATTTCAGAGGGAAGAAAGACCCAGTTGCTGCCAAATCTTCTACCTTCTGGGCTCACCATCTGCTTCGGGGGTGACCTCTCCTGGCTTCCCCTTCCATCCCCCCCTTTCTAGAGGGATGACAGGCCAGGCGGTTCTAACTTTTCCCGGGAGCTGTTTGCCGGGAGCTGCTGGCTTCACTGCAGTCAAGCTCCACCTCCAAACCTACTTAGCCATAGAAACGTATGGAGAGCTGGCAAAATCACATCTTAAAAATCTCACCTTGAAATCCTTGTTCTGACCAGATGGCACACACATAATATATTTTAAGCAAATATAAAGAAGTTAACCATAGACCAAAGGCAGCTAGTGGCCAGGACAGTGAGGCACCCCAATGAATATCTGGAGTGGAACAACCTTCCTGCTTCCTCCCTGAGCACTCCCTTGAATAGTCCATATTTAATTTTATTTTTTATTGTTTATTAAATTTATACCCCGCCCCTCTAGACTATGTCTACTTGGGGCGGCTTACAACATAAAATGGTAGTAATGGTACCAATAGATTTGGTAAGTAATTATAGCATTCTGAAATACAGAACTGACTTGACAGGATGCAATTATTAGAATTTATTATAAAACTGATCAATCTGAAGTATGCACTAGAATAGATGGCATTTTGTTAAAGATACGTCCTTGCCATTTGACGAGAGTGCCGCAGCCACTGAAGACAGCAGAATCTAGCAGAAAAGGCAGCAAATTGTTAGCTATGTCATTTGTCAGTATTGTATTTGTATTGCTAGCGATGGAGAGAAACACATGCTTTTTCTGAGCTATATGTCAGCATAACTTGGCTAACTATGGTTATTATGCACCCCGTTTGTTATGGAAAGTGCCATTTTCTGCTCTGCACAAGGCAGCAAAACACTTTGAGTAGGGCTTGGAATATAAATTCAGTTCTCCAAGAAACAAAGATCCAAGCAGTTTTGCCTCTCCTTTGGTTCAGCTGAAGCAAAAGCAGATTATATTGTTTTATTTTGTTGGTATTGTCTTCTCTTTATAGTTCACAAACAAATCCAGTATTCCCTAATATCCTTGGGATTGGTATCCACAATTCAGTTTCCTGCAGTTTACTACAGCACTATGTACAACATACAAGGGGACAGGCCTTGTGCCCTGTGTCCCACCTCTTTGTATGTTGCATACAGAGTTCTATATTATTCATGGTTTCAGGAATTTGCAGTGGAACTTGGAATAGTCTCCCACGGATACAGAGGTCCTACTGTAAATAGAAACCAACAATCCAGATTTAGTACAGTATAACTACTCTCCTTAGCAAATAGCCTAAAGGCTGCCTGTCACAATATAATGGGAAATCACATTTTCCCCACAATCAAGTAGGAACTTCATATGGTGTGTATCTGCAGTTGTTGTTTCCTCGGTGGGAAGGTAACAGCGTTCCGTGTCTAAGTCGCACTGGCCATGTGACCACGGAAGATTGTCTTCGGATAAAACGCTGGCTCTATGGCTTGGAAACGGGGATGAGCACCGCCCCCTAGAGTCGAACACGACTGGACAAAAATTGTCAAGGGGAACCTTTACCTTTACCTTTATATACAACATATAAGGGGACAGGCCTTGTGCCCTGTGTCCCACCTCTTTGTATGTTGCATACAGAGTTCTCTATTATTCATGGTTTCAGGAATTTGCAGTGGAACTTGGAATAGTCTCCCACGGATACAGAGGTCCTACTGTAAATAGAAACCAACAATCCAGATTTAGTACAGTATAACTACTCTCCTTAGCAAATAGCCTAAAGGCTGCCTGTCACAATATAATGGGAAATCACATTTTCCCCACAATCAAGTAGGAACTTCATATGGTGTGTATCTGCAGTTGTTGTTTAGTCGTTAAGTCGTGTCTGACTCTTTGTGACCCCATGGACCAGAGCATGCCAGGCCATCCTGTCTTCCACTGCCTCTCGAAATTTGGTCAAATTCATGTTGGTAGCTTCGATGACACTGTTCAACCATCTCGTCCACTGTCGTCCCCTTCTCCTCTTGCCCTCACACTTTCCCAACATCAGGGTCTTTTCCAGGGAGTCTTCTGCAGGGAGTATCTGCAGTACCACCATGTTTTTCCAAAACAAACAAACAAAAAGCAACTGCACTGGAATGCAAACATTACATATGTGTATAAAAATTAAGGGCACATGTATCCTTCTAAAATTCCTTCTTTCCACTATTTTGAGTACAGTTGAAGCTAAACATTTTTGACTGAGAATTTCCAGCTGAGAATTTGGCTCCAATTCTCAGAAGGAAAATAAACTATAAGGAAGCTGAAGTAATTCAGATTCCGAATGGTGAAAAATCTGCTGCTCATCAGCCTCCCTACAAATGAAGCCTGTGGCTGAAATGTCTATGCACATTAATCTGGGATTTAACTCTGTTGGATACAGAAGGAAAAGCCTCGCATCAAGGCATAGCACTATTGGATGGCCACATTTTCAGTGAAGCTCACTTTAAAAAATTGAACTAACAGAAAATTCCAGCTACAACTTTACATACTCCTACACTGGACAATGGGAAACCCATAGCTGACAAGTGGCAGATATGATTGGTACCTGCCGTTTTATTTTCCTCATAATGCATCTGAGGTGCTAATGAAATGCTGTTCTGTTCTAGAGATTAATGCCACATTGAAATCCCAGAGGCACTGTGAGAGTATTAAAATAGTAGGTGACAGCAGCTGCCAGTTAAACCAGGGTGGTTGTGTTGTCACTAAGGTTGCTATTACTGCTGCTGCTGCTGTTCCCAACTGGCACTCACAGTGCTAAGGCAGAGGGCATTTCACCAGGCTAGAAGAAAATCTGTAGTTGGTACTTCCTTTGGGATTACTGGAGGTGGTAGACCTCTGAGATCACAAGGACCTCACTAGTGCTGCCCCTGTAAGGGGGCACAGTTCCAAGAAAATGTAGAGTTGTGCTACAAATACTTATAACTGCATTTGCTGGAATACTGTACATCCCTTGCAGCCTCTCTTCCTCCTTTCTCCTTTTCCTTCTATTTTCTCCATTGTCCAAATATAGGTTGTAAATTCCTTGGAGTTTCTAAAGTACCTGAGCATCAGCTGAAGTCTCAGACAATTACTATATTTCTCCAAGTCTCAGAAAGAAAGACATTTCAGGGCAAGTGGCACTGGAGGACAAATTTGATTTCTATGTATGAGAAACCCATCACCATCCATTTCCAACCGGTGCCATGGCTCACTGGCTTCTCACAACATTGTATGTTGTGCTTGCTTCCATAATCAATCTTTGCCTGACCTCAGGTTTGGCCCCATAATCTCAGAGAGTGGGAGGCAACTGACCTGGCAACCATGGAAAGTAAGGATGTGGCTGAAGCTGCTGTGTTGTTGGATGGCAGACAGATGTTAAAATTCCAAATAAATAAATGCAATTCTAAAATGCTATTATTACTGCCAGCAGATTTCCAAAACCCGTGTAGCTGTCAGTGCAGGAACCAAGAATGACTGGTGAGTATTTCTAAGTTAGGAAAATGAACTGGGATAAGGATTGTCAGCATGCAAAGGTTGTTGTTGTTGTTGTTTAGTCGTTGAGTTATGTCCGAATCTTCGTGACCCAAGGACCAGAGTACGCCAGGCCCTCCTGTCTTCCCTTTTGCTTACTTCTGTGAATCATTGTACTATTTGGTTTTAAAATATAAACACACTTACCACCATTTTCCTTAAAACTCTCATGGTCCCAGATTCTATGTCTGCAAGGATTTACCAATTCATGTGTTGTTGTTTTTTAAATCCCAATAAGGGAAACCTGGATTGCAGCTAATGGTGCATCTGCCTTCCAGTCCAAGCATATGAACACGTGGCTCAGAGAGCAAATTAACTGTCTCATCAATGAAGGGAATAGCATCAAGGCAAATATTTGGGATTTGCAAGAAGCTATGAAGAACATGAAAGCTGAGCTCAGAAGGTATGTGTAAACTGTCATGGCACTGGGTGAATGACCACTTCTGCCCTTTCCTAGAGAAGCAGGAGAAATTCAGACCTGCCAAAAATTACAAGCAAGCTGGAAAGCACACATGCAGTGAAATCTACCCTTTCAAGAATGTTGGTTTCTGGTTCACAATTCAGAAAATGGACACAAATCCTTTATACTGTGGACAGATTGCAGGAAAATGGATACATCAGAAGAAAGTATGCATGGCCATTTATTAATTTTGAAACTGAACCTATGTCCTGTAACCTGACAGAGCAGGCACACAGGTCATCTAGCCATAAGTCTTCCTCTTGATGCTGAGACACATTGTATTTCTCTTTAATTGTTAGCATTTTTTTCAAATTTTTGAGGACACAAAGGTACAATACAAACAGGAACTGACAAACATATTACTTTTGTTAGATAATAAAGCACATTACTAAATGTATTAACATTATGCATGGCCATTTATTAATTTTGAAAGTGAACCTATGTCCTGTAACTGACAGAGCAGGCACACAGGTCATCTAGCCATAAGTCTTCCTCTTGATGCTGAGACACATTGTATTTCTCTTTAATTGTTAGCAAAAAAATTTCAAATTTTCGAGGACACAAAGGTACAATACAAACAGGAACTGACAAACATATTACTTTTGTTAGATAATAAAGCACAGTACTACATTTATTAATGTTATTTTTACTATAGTTATTTTCTTTTCATGCATCATACCACAGGATAAAGCAAGTTGAAGAGAAAATAACATTCTTAGAAACTCAGATTGAAGCAGCCAAGAAAAATCAGGAGGAGGAAAGAATAGCAGCGTCTTTCGAGGAACAGTACCTTGAAAAGCTGGTAGGCAAGGCTGGAAAGCAAATATCTCTGAGCAAAGTGATTTTTTAAAAATGTATATTATATGACACCATAAAAACACCAAGCAAAAAAATCTGTTGGTTAGATCAGGATGGGCTAATGATATGAAGAGAAAATAACATTCTTAGAAACTCAGATTGAAGCAGCCAAGAAAAATCAGGAGGAGGAAAGAATAGCAGCGTCTTTCGAGGAACAGTACCTTGAAAAGCTGGTAGGCAAGGCTGGAAAGCAAATATCTCTGAGCAAAGTGATTTTTTAAAAATGTATATTATATGACACCATAAAAACACTAAGCAAAAAAATCTGTTGGTTAGATCAAGATGGGCTTATCTCTCATTTCTATAAACCAGGCTTCCCCAATTTGTCATTTTCTAGCCATGCTGGGCTATAACTCCCATCTTCTCAAGCCAACATGATGGAATCTGCAGTCCAGTACTTCTGGGACTGATTGTTTTGATATTGCTAATTCCAGATACCCAGTACTATGGTATTTTCTCTGTGGTCAGTAGCCTCTAATAAGATTTGGGAGAAGTCAAAACTTTGTTTGGCTTTAATGCCATTGACCATGCTGGGCTATAACTCCCATCTTCTCAAGCCAACATGATGAAATCTGCAGTCCAGTACTTCTGGGACTGATTGAGAAGACTGTTTTGATATTGCTAATTCCAGATACCCAGTAGTATGGTATTTTCTCTGTGGTCAGTAGCCTCTAATAAGATTTGGGAGAAGTTATAACTTACCCTGGCTTTAATGCCATTGATTGGTTGTTGTTTAGTCATTAAGTCATGTCCAACTCTTTGTGAACCCATGGACCAGAGCACGCCAGGCCCTCCTGTCTTCCACTGCCATTGATAGTTACGTGCAATTCTTCTTCTCACTATGTCAGATGTTAGCAATATAAGTTTCTTTCTAAAATTATAACTTACCTCCCTACCAGCAGTACATTCAGAATGCTTCAATCACTCTGGAAGGAATAATTCTTAAAAACATGCAGAGAAGATGATGAGGCTCAAGTATTCGAAAAGTACTACCATACCATCCCTCTGTCTTATTTTCTCAAGGCTAAACATGTCCAGTTCTTTCAGTCTTTCCTCATAGGGCTTGGTTTCCATGGTTGCTGTTAAGGGTTTAGGAGAACTGTCATACAAAATGGAGTCCTGAGAACATGAGGAAGTCACTTCCTATAGACAAGGACGTAGGTGGCAGCCACTTTCAGAGTGCTGATCTGGAGGTATTTTCATGTTTTATATGAAGTTATTTGCCATGTATATTTTTTGCCACACTTATCCTTACCTGCAAAAATGGGAAGTGGAAAGCCTATGGTGAAAGAAGCTTTTATACTTGCCTGAATAAGCACTCACAGGATGTGATAGTTTATTTATTTAGATTTTCACCCCATACCTCTAGTGGCTAGGCCACTATGGTAGGCAGCTTAAATATCACACCATTGACATAAATAAAATTCAGTAATAAAATTCAATAATAAACATCAACTTGAAAGAGCAAGCAAGAGATCCAATCCCATGCTAACTATAAATGGCACATAACAAACAATGGCAGAAAAAGAGAGACACAATTTTTAAAATGCTGTTAATTAGTTAATAGTAATCATACTTTACAAAAAAATTACAATAACAAACCATAGCCTGCACGTGGACCAATATTGAGTGGCTTAGATCAAGGGTGATGAATCTTTACCTAATGTTTTGTATGTCAACTCCCTTCAGTCCTCACCATCAGCCATGTAGGGCAAAGCTGCCATGGATTAAAAATGAAACACCTGGAAGACCAAAAGTTCCCTAATCCTTAATAAGAACTCTGTTTTGAATGAGGTGCTTCATCAAAGATTGTCTTTCTTTTGTAGTGAGTTGCTGCTGTTTCCAAGCCTGCAACCCACAGCGGGACGTACATTTTTATAACTAATTTTAGGGATTGTTTTGTTCTACAGGAGAAGGACACTGAAAATTTGCATTTGAGAATCTTCATGCTCTCTGAGAAGGTACATAGTGTCTTCTCACTTCAATATAGAACATAAAGCAAATGTCAACAAGCATGTCTGAGATGGTGGCACTACAATGTTGTGATAATGTTCTGAAGGAAGCTACAGTTCGCCTTAAGCTGGGCAGCCCCCAGCTAGTAAGGTACTGCCGCACTACGGTCCGTTCTTTTACGGGTCGCCTGGGGTTTAGGGTGAAAGCCAACAAGCAAACTTGTTCAGCAGACCGAGGCAAAGAGGCAGTCCCGAAACCAGCAAAACCAGGGAGCTGGACAGGGGACAGATTGTATTTGTCTTCAGCATGGAAGGGATTGCCACTCCCAAATTGGCCTTCTCAGCCACACTAGACCCTGTTCCAAAACCTCTATTCAGAGTATGTTACAATAGTTTCTCGAGACTGAAAGATGCCTACACTCTGTTCTTAAGGTATTTCATAAGAGGTATATTGCTTTACATGGGGCGCTAATAAATAAAACAGGCTAGAATAAGAAAATAAATCAGTTTCTTGACTCTATTTCCACGCACCAAATAAAACTGGAAAAATAATGAAACTTGAAGCTGTTTTGTACACTCCACAACATCCTGTCAGAATTTTAAGAAACTGATCAGAACAATATTGGTGTTTGCATAAGGTTAGAATAATTTGCCATGGCTAATTGTGGCTAACTGGTGATGCCAGGGTGCATCTTTGTTTCACAATTAGATGCACGAACAGGCACCGAATGAAGAAGTGTCCAAGCACCTCATCAATTACTGGCAATTAGCTACAGCAAGTTAGACAAACCATACACTAACAATGATAGGATTCTGGTCATTGTTTAAGAAAGTTTTCACTCTTTTAAAAATGAATTCAGATTTCCAGATAATGTAGTCTTAAAACAGTGGTCCCCAACCTTGGGCCTCCAGATGTTCTTGGACTACAGCTCCCAGAAGCCTTCACCACTGCCTGAGGCGGGTACTTGTACTGATCTGCTGCAGCAAGAACACCCAACCAAGAGTCGGGCGGCATCTACATTAGCAAGATCTATTTTGCAGAAGCTTTTCTGGACTATAGCCCATATCACCAAATACATTCAATGAAGCAAAGAATCATAAAATGGTAGGCTTGGAAGGAATGTCACTTTCGTCCCTGGGGGCGGCAGGAGAAGGACGAGGAGGAAGAGGACGCGCGAACGCACGGCTTCCCTCCCTTCGCCTGCCTGCCTTGCAGCCTGCCTTCCTCTTCCCGGCCAGCGCGGCCCCGCATCACTCTTGCGGCGGCGGCTCCTTCCTGGCACCCTTCGGTAAGCGAGTTTTCTCCATATGGACGGACGCTATGCCTCCGCATTAGCGATCCCGGAGAAGGGATCGCTATGCGGATTCGTCGTTATACGGTGTGCTCGTTATGCGAGGCACCACTGTATTTCCACTCACCAAATAAAACTGGAAAAATAATGAAACTTGAAGCTGTTTTGTACACTCCACAACATCCTGTCAGAATTTTAAGAAACTGATCAGAACAATATTGGTGTTTGCATAAGGTTAGAATAATTTGCCATGGCTAATTGTGGCTAACTGGTGATGCCAGGGTGCATCTTTGTTTCACAATTAGATGCACGAACAGGCACCGAATGAAGAAGTGTCCAAGCACCTCATCAATTACTGGCAATTAGCTACAGCAAGTTAGACAAACCGTACACTAACAATGATAGGATTCTGGTCATTGTTTAAGAAAGTTTTCACTCTTTTAAAAATGAATTCAGATTTCCAGATAATGTAGTCTTAAAACAGTGGTCCCCAACCTTGGGCCTCCAGATGTTCTTGGACTACAGCTCCCAGAAGCCTTCACCACTGCCTGAGGCGGGTACTTGTACTGATCTGCTGCAGCAAGAACACCCAACCAAGAGTCGGGCGGCATCTACATTAGCAAGATCTATTTTGCAGAAGCTTTTCTGGACTATAGCCCATATCACCAAATACATTCAATGAAGCAAAGAATCATAAAATGGTAGGCTTGGAAGGAATGTCACTGAGTCCGCCTCCCTGCCAAGCAGGAAATCCCCACCTAAGCATCCCGGACAGGCAACCATTGAACCTGTATTTTAAAACCTCCAATGAAAGAGAGTTGATTGCCACTGATGAAGTAGGCTGCAGTCTATGAAACATTATGCCACAGAAAACAACAGCCTGTCTCCCAGCAATGGGTCCTGCCACCTTTGTTAGCTTTTCAAATGCCACAAGACTTATTGCTGGAAAACAGGTCATAATTTAAGAGCAAGCTGTAGTTCAGTGATGCAGCACTCATTTTGCATGTAGAAGGTCCCAGGTTCAATCCCCACCATCTTGCAGTGGAGCAAGTATGACGCCCACCTGATATCCTGAACAGCCCCAGCCAAGCATCAACTCCAATACTGGGCAAGATGGACAAATGGCCTGACTCAGGATGCAACAGCTTCCTGTATTCCTGCTTCCCCACACACATGGTGCTCACGCTAGGTTTGGGTATTTTAAATTATTTTATTTTTATTTAATACATAAGAATCATAAAATGGTAGGCTTGGAAGGAATGTCACTGAGTCCGCCTCCCTGCCAAGCAGGAAATCCCCACCTAAGCATCCCGGACAGGCAACCATTGAACCTGTATTTTAAAACCTCCAATGAAAGAGAGTTGATTGCCACTGATGAAGTAGGCTGCAGTCTATGAAACATTATGCCACAGAAAACAACAGCCTGTCTCCCAGCAATGGGTCCTGCCACCTTTGTTAGCTTTTCAAATGCCACAAGACTTATTGCTGGAAAACAGGTCATAATTTAAGAGCAAGCTGTAGTTCAGTGATGCAGCACTCATTTTGCATGTAGAAGGTCCCAGGTTCAATCCCCATCATCTTGCAGTGGAGCAAGTATGACGCCCACCTGATATCCTGAACAGCCCCAGCCAAGCATCAACTCCAATACTGGGCAAGATGGACAAATGGCCTGACTCAGGATGCAACAGCTTCCTGTATTCCTGCTTCCCCACACACATGGTGCTCACGCTAGGTTTGGGTATTTTAAATTATTTTATTTTTATTTAGTACATTTTTACTCTGCCTTTCTCTTTAAAAAGGACAGAGGCAGCTGACATCATTAAAAGACAATATTTAAAGCTAAAAATAGTAAGTATGCAAATACTAAAAAAAATCAAACAAATGCCACACTAAAAGATGGGAAACAAAAGCAACACCAACAAAAAAATTCAAAGCAGAAGGATCAAACAAATGCCACACTAAAAGATAGGAAACAAAAGCAACACCAAAAAAATAATAATTTCAAAGCAATAAGGCACAACCATTCTATTTAAAGACAAACAAACAAACAAAAACCACTCAAGCGGCCAGTCATGGAGGGAAAGGTTGCCTGAAGGAAAAGATCGGACAAACAAACAAACAAAAACCACTCAAGCAGCCAGTCATCAAGGGAAGGGTTGCCTGAAGGAAAAGATCTTCACCTGCTTACAGAAGGACAGCAAAGATTGGACCAGTCTGGTCTCCTATGGGAAGGACTTCTGGGAGCAACAACAGAGAAGGTTCTTTTCAGTGTCCTCACCAAGTGCACCTGTAAAGATAGTGCAATTGAGAAAAAGGCCTCTCCTAATTATTTTAAATACCTGAGCAAGCTCATAAAGGGAGGCACAGTCCTTGAGACAGCTTGGACCATGCAGACACACAGTGTAGGCAAAGGATAATGAAAGTTGCAGTCCAACAATATCTGAAGAGCCCCATTAGCCCCATGCTCCCTCGTCTTGCTGTGAAATAGGTTGAATGGTGACTACTGATTGCTCGCTTCCCAGTCCTAACAGGTTCATCACATTATCAGCCTAGAGCTGCCGCTTTATGTTATGTTGGTCCCTAATATTTTTGCAAAGTTTCCAGTATGAATTGTTACTTGCTTCTCAGTATGCGTTCAGTCTTCTCAAACTAGATGTTTTCAAAATTGTCCTGCAGTTACTTCCAGACTGCTCAACTTTTATCAAACGCCTGTGGTTATAAAAAGAGCAGGGAACAGCATTCATATCTGAATTTCTCAGCTGTAGGCTCAGCTGACATTGAAGTCAATGTTGTGCCTGAAGTACTAAGCTGCCTTCTTGTCTCCCACAATGGCTTGATATGTCCCCTTTAATGTATGTTAGAATTAACACTAGCATTATTTAAGGGAGGTTGTTCCACAGAATCTTTGTGAAACTCAAGATGAGCTCAAGGCATTCTGCTCCCTGAGGCAGAATAGCAAAAAGTGGTGCCTCATTGCTCTTTTTTTCCAAGGAGTGTAGTAGTTAAGTCCAGCAAAGTTAATTTAAGAGTTGAAATAGAAAACTGAAGAAATCTCTCTGTGTGTATCCCTGGCACTTAAAAAATTGATGGCAATCAACTAAATAACTAATAATTTATTAGCTATCTAACAATCTGCTGCCTAAGACAACTGCCTTATTTTACAAAATGGTAGGACTAGGCTTGGTCAATAGAAAGTAGATGCATACCGAGAATGAAATTGTGGATATGTGAACAGGATATTCTATTGTTTTTGTTTGACTTATTGGACCTTATTTGAGGTTGAAGGACATATTTTTAAGAGAGGATATTTGACCTGCCCCTCCCATGGACTTTCACCATTGACCACAGACCCCTTAAAGTTTCTATTAATCAGGCCCATGGAGAAAAAAGACTACTAGTTAGTTAAATTAAAAGAAAAGAAAGATGCTTGGGATTTGGTCACCAGAATTACATCTGGTTTGGCCACCCAACTCTAACAATGTAAGAGAATAGCAAAACAGAATGAGTGGGCTGGCCACTGGATACTGCTGAACTGAATGTGACCATATGTGTGTTTTTGTGCCCATACTAGAGCTCAGCTTTGACAGCATCCAAGAAGATCAATCAGCGAAGTTACCTGCAGCTCTGTTGTCATGTCAGTAAACTACAGGTGAGAACAATTAGAAGGAGGATCTGAATAAGGATTAATTGCAATGGTAACAATTAAATCCAAGAAAATTATCCTGAACATGTAGGCCAGAATCTTACTTAGAAAAACCACATGTACAATGACAATTATGCTACGGCTTTTGCTCTCCAGAAGGCCCTCATCATACAGGTGGTCTTACCACCAACTATATGACCAAACTCATGCTCAGTGGGAGACTAGGCACATGAAGGGGATACTGTTGAAGCAGGGGGAACACTTAAGTGACTGCTTTTCTGCTTCACATCCCTCAACAGGATCTTGACTTCAGTGCCTATGAAGGTGCAAAATTCATGGTGGAAACTGGCAGATCTCACACATCCCTGCTTTAGTCACCTCATCCTTTCATGATAGTGTACAATTCTAGATAGTCCTTTGCCAAGTTAATTCTTTGCTAAATCTTCTTGGATCTAACAGGTACACGAGACTCTTTTTATCCTACACTCAGAAAATGCTGATTTTTAAAAATGTACATTACCACCATATAGTCAATTTTTATTTTGTGTCATTGGAGAACTGAAAGGATTACTATGTACTATTACAGTGGTGCCTTGACTTACAAGTGTCCCAACCTACGAACATTTGAGTTACAAACAACTCTGTTCACAAAATTTTGCTTTGACTTGTGAACGGAGCTTTGACTTACATGCTAGAGTTCAGCTTTGACAGCATCCAAGAAGATCAATCAGCGAAGTTACCTGCAGCTCTGTTGTCATGTCAGTAAACTACAGGTGAGAACAATTAGAAGGAGGATCAAAAAAGCTTAGAACAGCACAAGGTTTTTGTCCATGTGAAGGAATGTTCATGCAAAACAGATTTTAACTGAATAAGGATTAATTGCAGTTGTGTAAAAAAGAGAGACTGCCTGTTCTGGGTGAATTCACTGTGTTTACTGTATGGGGGGTTTGTAGCTTGGGGTTGGGCTAAGTGGCTAGGTGGGGGGTTATGTTTCTGTGCGGGCTGTTGGTTTTAAAATCAGAAAACTATTTGCAAAGGTCTGGCTGGCTGTTGGCCTCTAAAATGCATTTTAGTCTTTTGGTTGCTTGTAAAATGTGCTGTAAAATGTGTGGGTTTAAAATGTGTGTGTTTAGCATGTGTGGGTCCAAAATGTGTTTTAGACTCCAATCTGCCCCCCATTCCCTGCTTTAGTCACCTCATCTTTTCATGATAGTGCACAATTCCTATGGGAACTAATACTTTGTCTTACAAACCATGCCTTGACATAAGAAAAAACAGCCGGAACCGATTGATCAGGTTTCAGTGCATTCCTATGGGAAATACTGGTTTGACTTATGAATGTTTTGACTTACGAACATCTTCTGGGATGGATTAAGTTCATAAGTCAAGGCATCAATGTAATTTGTTTGGAGTACTTTTATATTGCTGTTGTTATGTGCCATGAAGTCACAAATGCCTTGACATAAGAAGAAAAAACAGCCGGAACCGATTAATCAGGTTTCAGTGCACTCCTATGGGAAATACTGATTTGACTTACTAATGTTTTGACTTACGAACATCTTCTGGGATGGATTAAGTTTGTAAGTCAAGGCATCAATGTAATTTGTTGGGAATATTTTTATATTGCTGTTGTTACGGTGCCATGAAGTCACAACCAACTTATAGAAATAGGGTGTTCAAGGTAAGTGTGATATTTAAAGAGTGTTCTTACCAGTTCCATTCCCCCAGTTTCCATGGCTGCGCAGGGATTTGAACCCAGTCATCCTGAGTCCTAGTCCATCACCCTGTCTATTACACTGCACATTACACACACAATGTACTTTTGTGTGTTTCTTTAAATACGTATATTAAAAATCTGTTATATTTTGACAGCAGGTAGGTGGGTTTTGGGCAAAAGGACTATGTGCCGAAAAAGGGTCCTACAGGTGGAAGGCTCCTAGGACAACCAATCAAAGGATGGTACACAACTATTCTGACTTTTCTTCCTTAATGTATTAAGGGTAGAAAATAGATGGCAAAAAGATAAAAAGAAAGGATCGAAGGGAAGGCAGGAAAGGGGTCTAATAGGAAAATAATGTCTACTCAATACAATTCCATAAATAAGGCAAAGTGATTGCATGATAAAAGTATCATCTGAGGCACTAGCATCTTTGACCAAAGATTGGGCTAAAATGTTATTAATTCAGTTCTGTCATATGACGTACAGGTCTCTTTCTCTGCCAGAACAGAAAGAGTCTTGCATTCATTTCCATTGGGATGTTCCAAGCAAGATATCTCAAAATCCCTCACATGATTTTTTTTAATTAGAGAGAGCTCCAAGAATGCAACCTGACTTGTGCTGAGGAAGATGAAGTTTTTACAAAGGTATGCTTGCTTATTGCATATGGAGGACACAATCCAGCACCAGTTAAGCATTTCACAGTCTCACTGATGTGAGTTGACATACCTGATGAAGTCAGCTAGGAAGATGTCAATAGGAATCATCAGGATAAACTACAAGTCCTAACATCCCCAGTGAGATAAGGCTAATCTCTTCCTTGAAGAGGCACCTCCCTTCTTCATTTCAAGACTCCTCTACCTGATACATCATCTCCTTCTTCCAAATAGGGGGAGGTAACAGGAGGTGGGGGAGGCTGGCATTAACTAGGCCTTTTAAAAGTGTTCCTTTTTTTAAATGTTCAGTTCCCATCCACACAGCTACTCACCCAATATTTTTCAGTTGTCTAAAGAAATGTTCAACAAGTCTGATTGGTGATCAAAGCAAGCATCAGATTGCCTGATAATGATCGTTACTTGTCTCTGATCTACCTCCTGATGTTGTCTCACATAATTGATATGGAAGTGCCTTTCTTACTATAAATTAGATCTCTGAGGTTCCTGTAATATATTGGGCAGGGGGGAAATGTAATTGTGTTGCCCAAAAATTGAATGAAAGGAGCATTAGACAAATTAGGATGATGATAGTGGTGATGGTGATGATGTGTGCTTCTTTTCCAGATGAAACACCAAATCAGGGAGCTTGAAGAGTATATGCAAGAATATCAAGTAAAAATAGAGGTACGTATATGAATGACATATTGTACTCTTGAAGGACTGAATATGAAGCATAGTGACTACTTAATATGGGTTGCAGTTCCAAAATGCTTGCTAAACAGCAAACATAATAGAACATACTCTGATCAGCTGCAACATTAAAACCACCTGTCTAATATTGTGTAGCCCCCCCCCTTGTGCTGTCAAAACAGCTCTGATGCATCAAAGCATGAACTCCACAAAATGTCTGAACATGTCCTGTGGTATCTGGCACAAAAACATTAGCAGTAGATTCTTTAAGTCCTGCAAACTGTGAGGTGGGGCCTCCATGGATCAGGTTGGTGTTCCAGCACATCCCATAGATGCTCCATCATATTGAGATGAGTGGTTGATCAGTGTGTTGAGACTTATGTTTAAATATTCTACTGTCTAATTGTAACAAACTGCTCCAGAAGGTAGGACTCAAAGTAATGGATTCAAATTATAAGAAAAAAATAGAACTGAATGTTAAGAAAAATGTCCTGACAATAAGAGACGTTGAACAGTGGAATGGACTGTCTTTGAAGTTGATGGTCAATCTTTCATTAGAAACTGGATGGCCATCTGTTAGATGCTTTAGGTATGGATTCCCTGCTCTGGCAGGACATTGAACATGATTATGCTTAGGTTCTCTTCCAGCTCTATCATTCTATGATTCTATGGCTGAAATCCAGCAGTAAGTCATAACTAGAGCTTGGGATTTAGGTGAGTCAGCTCCTCTGTAAGTTACATAGATTCTAGCTGTGATCTACCACTACTTTTCAGACACATATTCTAAAAGTTAGTTTTGTAAAGTTTTAAATTTCTTGGTGTTTGCATGTGATTATCCCCTACACATACACGGTGATGGTGGAGCATGTTCCATGGGCCCTTATATGGTATAATGTAAAAAGTGGGGAAGAGACCTACACATACACGGTGATGGTGGAGCATGCTCCATGGGCCCTTATACCTGTATGGTATAATGTAAAAAGTGGGGAAGAGTGTACCTATTGGCCTGTTTATAGATCTTTAAAAATAATTAAAGCCATACTGTTGTATCATGGCATAAATCTAAGGTGACTTAATACACTCCACAGTAACCAGTAGCACTTATTTCACTATAAAATAGCGGCAAATGATTAATGTAGAGAGGGAGCCTGGCCCTATTCAGGTTTACTCGGATGCAAACAAAGGATGACAGCTCCTTCAAAATCATGAAAATCTATTCAAACATTGCAAACATACTTTTTTTTTGTTCTTCCTTGGTATTAATCAAATGTTTTACAGGAAAAAAATCAGTGCTGTTCATAGCTTCAGCTACCAAAACAGACGTCATATTTTAGGAAATAATGACATTGACACACAGCTAATCAGATTTGGATCTATGATTATGTCAATGAGGACAAATGAAGCTAATCAAACTGAGGACAACATTTCCTGAATAGATATTGCCTTGCTCTTAAGTAGCATAATTTACAATCAGTGACATTGTCCCATAGCTGAGTTTATCTGGTTTTGTAACATTCTCCCTGTACTCAGGATGATGGCCTAACTTTACGCACAAGAAGGCATCATTTGTTTCCTCGTTTGTTTAATATTATATTTTGCTGACCAGAATTGGAAAGAGGTTCACAATGGTGCCTTGACAGCACCATCTGAAAGCCAGATATGGGCAGGGAGAAGCATATTTAGGTGTGTGTTAAGGAGGAGTGTATTTTTCATGTTATACTTACCAGACTATTATATCTCCCCTCCAAAATATTTTTAAAAAATATTAGAAGATTTCCAAAAACACCAGGGAAAATTCTCAGGGGAGCAACACCAGGGAAAATTCTCAGTGGAGAAAATATCCACAACCCTCTGCCCCTTCACTGTAACATACCATGGAGAGATGTTTGAAAACCACACATATGAGAAATTTAGACATCCTTCTACAGGAAGAATTCTGAATTCCCACATCACATATTGTATGCATCACATAGGAAGAAGTATGGATGACTTGTTTTAATTATGTTGGCATTTGCTTGTAATGTTCCAAATCACCCCATGTCAACTAGTTCTGTGTCAGTGGTTCTTAACATCTCAAAAGTGGCTACTACTCAGGGCCCAGCTATGGAAGTGACTAGTTACAAGCAACATAGGTAGCTGTGATTAGTTACTTTTGGGTAGTGAGGAATATAATGGCTGCAATCCTGTCAGTGTAAATTTACGCCATGCAAGCCAGATGATGTCATCATATGGTGATGGATATCTTCAATTTAATTAAATTAAAAATTTATTATCTCCCCCACTTCAGGATCCGAAGCTCCCTAGGGATCTCTTATGCCTGTGGGAATCTTTTTGGGAGACTCAAGATGGGAGGTGGGATATTTAATATTGAAATATCACTACCAGATTGCCCTGTTCCTAATAAAGGCTCTTTGCTTTGGTTTCATGTGTCAGTTAAATCCGTATTATCCCATCCAATACATACAATAGCCATTTGCATTGAACATTATTATTATTATATTATTATTATTATTATTATTATTATTATTATTATTATTATTATTATTATTATTATTATTATTATTATTATTGGCAGCTCTGACTGTGAAAATTTGCTGTGAAATAATTTGGAAACCAGATTAATTTGTTCTGTAGAGAACATTTCCTTCCTTCCTTCCTTCCTTCCTTCCTTCCTTCCTTCCTTCCTTCCTTCAGGCTTTGAACTGTGTGAAATGTAATATACTGCTTGAGGGGGAAAAGAGAAACAGCAACTGAAGGGGAGCTGCTAAATATTTTGCTTTCAGGTTCTCCAGGACAGAGAGAAAGCTCTGCAGGATGAACTGTCAGCTGTTATGAAAAAAAGGGCCGGGTAAGACTCCTCTATGTATCCAATCCCTTCTGTACTCAGATTCAGATCTTCAAGAGCAGCTGACTGATCAAAGTTGTGCTGATTCTGCTAGTAAGGAATGCAGTTTTGACTGCAACACATGTCGTATTACTGACAGAAATAATCCTGCATGTTACAAAAGAAACAGCCGATTTCTACTGATTTGTTTAAACCACATCTGAGCAGACTATCTGAAGCACTAACTCAGGGGAAAGCCTAATATCCAAGACAAAAATCTGGAGATGACCACAAATAGCCAAATTGCTGAAATGAGGACCAGTGCCTTCCTTGCTCAGCTTTGGATCATGTCCTTTGATCTGAGCCCATAACTCATTCCTCTCCAATTTAATGCCAACTTTCCCATTTTTATTAATGCCAGTACAACAAGCCCACCATTATTTCCTCAAATCACCTAAGCAATTTTATATACATATCATGTGGTCTGTTCTGGTCTGAGCCATTGCCCATCTACCTAGGCCATGACTAGAGACAGTTAACATCTGGTTTAGAGAGACATGCTTTTCCCTGATCATGGACTCCATATTCCATTTGACTGAAATGCAAATGTAGGTTTAATGTAAGAAAAAAATCCAAGAATAATTTACATTTTTTAAGAAATAGAAAAGAATGAAAAATAGGGCTTTCCAGATGTTCCTGAACTACACCTGAAAAATAGGGCTTTCCAGATGTTCCTGGACTACACCTCCCATCGGTCCCATTAATCACAGGCATTAGTGTGGAATATCTGGATTTGCAGCCCAATGATGTAAGGCGTGCTCATCCCTGTTGCACATAATGTGAATATTAAAATAATGTTATGTTAGCTGCCCAGAGTGGTCAATTGACCAGATGGGCGGGATATAACTACAATAAATAAATGAAATATGTGTGTTATGTGCCATTAAGTTCAAACTGACTTATGGTGACCCTAAGTGGGCTTTCAAAGTAAGCAAAATATTTAAAGAGTGGTTTTACAACTCCACACACATACCCAACATGGCCAAGCATGGATTTGAACCCAGGTCTCCTGAGTCTTAGTCCATCACTCTATCCACTACATGAAACTGAGAATCCAGTTAATAATAATATCCCTGCATGGTAATAGTATTACCTGACCAAGCACTGTCACATAATATTAACATAGACAGGAACAATTCTTTCAGAAAGACCCAGAACTAATATCGTCTATGAATACTACCACAGAATGACTGTCATGAAGCATGTTAATAATCCATTCTTTTCTCATGCTTTCAGACAGCAGACCAAGTTTCCAGGCAAGTTTTTGAACCTCCACCCCAAGAGCTTGATGTATGAAATAGCCAGGGCTGAACTGGTCAGTAATCTTGTTTTACCCAATACAGAGCAAGCTATCTTGTGAGCACATGTACTCAGCAATCCTGGCAAACAGCTGCCCCTCTTTCTTTGCACCTTGTGTTTGGTTATGGAGGTATATCAGAGCTTGGAATAGTTACTTTCTGGAGTACAGCAGTTGTTCCCAAAAAAGCAACTTTCTGAAACTCTGAGATGCTATTTAAGGATTAAGAAAGGAAAGGGATGCACACTTGTGTTATTTGTAGTTTATTGAAGGGGGCAAAAACAACTAGCATTGTAGACTTCCCTCATGTGTAAGTGATACTTTCTAAATGTTATCTTGCTAGGTAGACAAAAAAAAGGTGTGGTCATAAAACAAGATCTGGCTTAGTAAACTAATTGAGTGGTCCACTCTGTAATGTCATTAAGAGCACAGAATCTTGTATATGCTGTCCTAATCTTCTTCTGCTCTCATTCAGTCTGAGGCATTATGCTCAGGCCAGTTTTGCAAGCAAATCCTATTGTGTCTTAGCCTGACACACAACAGCTACCTTACAATGATTGGGTCTAATATGCCTTCTCCAGGATCAGGGGATATGATAGTAGAATTCAACAATGATGGCTTTAAAAGGACATCAGATAAATTCATGGAGGATGGATGGGTGTTTGTATGTCTATTTCTGTGTCAAGTCAATTCTGATTTACAGAGACAATACTCAAAATTAGAGATGGCAAGCCTCTGAATAACAGCACAGGAACCACCATACCTTTCTTATGTTCCAATGACCCTGTTTTTCAGCAGAAGTGCATAAAAGCTGCCACAGTACAAACATACACTCATACCACAACATCTAAAGCAGGACTTCAAGATCAGGGCACAATTCAGCAGAATGGATATGAAAATTTGTTTGGAGGAGTAGGAGGTACAATGTTGCTTCAGGTCAGAGTTGTATTCAGTTTTAGGAACCTCCACAATGAAATATTAGGGCTTCTTTTATTTGTATACAATTACAAGCAGAAATGAATTTTCTCAACCTTCTTTTTTATCTGCAGGAATTGAAAATGCAAAGGGAAGGAAAATCTGTGAAGAAGCAGGTTTGTGGTGGTAGGTTAGTGTAGAACACATTACTACTTGTGGTATATAAAAAAAACCCACTATAATTCCACAATAATTCAGACATGTCCCAAAATCCCACCTTATCCAGTGTTCTAGTCTGTTACATGTCTTGGAGCCCATACCCCATGATAGTGAATACCATTCCTCTAAATCAGTGGTTCTTAACCTTTGTTACTCAGATGCTTTTGAACTGCAACTCCCAGAAACCCCAGTCAGCACAGCTGGTGGTGAAGGCTTCTGGGAGTTGCAGTCCAAAACTCCTGAGTAACCCAAGGTTAAGAACCAGTGCTCTAAATCAAGTACAGTATAACCACTGATTGTTTCCTAGTGAAAGGGGAATTTACAGCCATGTAAAAATGGGCAGTGTTAATGTGAATGTACAGTTGCAAGTGAGAAAAGACATGGTTTGTGTTTTCTTGCTCTAAAGTTGCATGGAATTAGCGCAAGATAATGGTTAAAATCTCAAGAACTGAGCCTTCAGATTTTTGACAGTAGTGTGTTTTGTGTTTCCTTGAAAAAGGAAAACACCCCAGTGATGGAGCATATACATAAATTCCCAGTGTGGTGTAAGGGGAAGAGTGACAGACTAGGACTCTAGGGAACAGGGTTCAAATCCCCACTCAGCCATGAAAACTCACTGGAGGAATGGAACTGGTAAAACCACTCCTTTAAAATCTCACTTACCTTGAAAGCCCTATTAGAGTCACTACACGTTGGTTCTGACTTCATGGCACAGAACATATGAACTGCATTGAGGATTGCTCCCAGTTCCAACACTAGCATCTCCAATTAATGTAAACTTGTAGGAAGTTACACGTAAACATGCTACTTCAGATCCTAGAAAGACGTTGATAGTGAGCACAGGGTGCACGCAGCATACAAGTCAAATAAATAAATAAATAAATAAATAAATAAATAAATAAATAAATAAATAAATAAATAAATTCATGCATGCATACATACGTACATACATACATACATACATACATACATACATACATACATACATACATACATACATACTGTACATACATACATACATACATACAGTGGTGCCCTGCATAGCGAGGTTAATCCGTTCCGGATTAACCTTCGCTATGATGAAACATCGCTAAACCGGACGGAGAAAGCCATTGGAACGCATTAAACTT